AAAAAAAAAATTAAAAACTGTGCTTTGAAAGAGACATCACAAAAGCGAAAAGACACAAAAATGGGAAAAACTATTTGTGAATTGAATATCTGATAAAGGACTTGTATCTAAAATATATAAAGAACTCTTACAACTCAATAATGAAAACACAAATGTAATTTTAAAATGGGCAAAAGATCTGAATAGACATGTCTCCAAAGAAGATATACAAATGGCCAAAAAGGTCATGAAAAAATGTTCAACATCATTAGTCAAGAGGGAAATGCAAATCAAAACCACAATGAGATACCACTTCATACCCACAAGGATGGCTATAATCAAAGGGAGAGATATTAACCAGTGTTGAAAAGGACGGGAAGAAATTGTGACCCACAGTTGCTAGTAGTATTGTGGAATGATACAGGCACTTTGAAGAACAGTTTGGAAGTTCCTCGAAATGTTAAATAAAGACCATATGACCCAGCAATTCCACTCCTAGGTATATACCCAAAACAAATGAAAACATGTCCACACAGCATAATTCATAACAGCCCAAAAAGTGGAAACCCCAAATATCCATTAACTGATGAACGATTAAACAAAGTGGGGTATATCCTTACAGTAGAATCTTAGCCATAAAAAGGAATGAAGTACTTATATATGCTACACCATGAATAAACGTTGAAAACCTTATGTCAAGTGAAAAAAGTCAATCTCAAAAGATCACATGCTCTATGATTCATTTATATGAATGATCCAGAATAGACAATTCCATAGAGACAGAAAGTAGATTAGTGGTTGCCTCAAACTGGAGGTTTGAGGGAAAATGGGCAGTGACTGCTAATGAGTATGAGGTTTCTTTTGGGGGTGGTAAAAATGTTCTAAAATTGACTGTGATGATGACTGCACAATTCTATGTACACATTAACCCATTAAATTGTAAACTTTAAATGCGTCCACTGTATGTAAATTATTTCTCAATAAAGCTGTTTAAAAAATCATACTAAAAAGTTCCTGTTTTATTGTTATTACAACTTACATATGAATTTACATACACATATCACATGTTCACACATGTTCTTTTATATGTACTAGATATGCCATAAACAGGAAAAACATAGAGCCAAATTTATGTAATAACACTAGTGGGACTTCAAGAGGCTGATTTAAACTGAATGTTACATTAAGAAAAAAATAGGGCTGCCTGTTAGCTCACTCACAGTGTAGTGTTGGTAACACCAAAGTCAAGGGTTCAGACCCCCGTACCAGCCAGCCACCAAAAAAATAAAGAAAAAAAATAAAAACATAGTTTTGGTGTGTACATGTTCTCTCCCACTAAAAATGACAGTAGAAGATGTAAAGGTTTGTAAAAAGAATTTATCAATGAATACTTTAAATTCCCTTTAAAAACTACGTTTAAGGAAAGGAATGAGTCACTAAATGTATTTAAAACACCTATTTCTCTACCTAAAATCTCAAAAGCTGCTCAGCTGAACTGACCTACTTTTAAGAAAAATGCAGGTAAATAGAATGGGCACATTATAATCTCAGTGAACTATAAATAATACAATCATAAAATGAAGCATGAAAAAAGTTTATCTCAGGAGAACATTTTTTGTGTGTTAGAGGCAAATGATAGACTCAATGCCATGAGAGTAAAATTACTCTGGAAAGCTTCAAATATAATGTGCCTTTTAAGGAAAAATTATAAAGGAAAAAAAATGAGCAATAAAACTTTTCAAAGAAAGTTGTGTATTGTGTATTTAACACTCAAATATCACAAATGTCCTTTTAAAACACATTTTTATCTTTCTGCAGATATTGCCTGGCTACACAGGGCCTAACAAGCAAGCAAGATTTTATGAAAACTAAAATAAAAAATGAGCAAAAGGTAAGCTCAGAAAAAGACAGACTTAAAGTTTTTTACTTGTAACAGACTGACCAAAGTAATGAGAGAAAAAAGCTTCCATAAATAACATAAATACATTATATAATGTACTCCTATAACATTTTGAAACATTATAGATATCACTACATACATAATTGTCTTATTTTAAACTGGTTAACAGATTATAAGAATGATAAGACAGACATAATTTGGAAACTCACAAGTCAGGAAATCTCGCCTAGTAAATTTCAAACATTTACCCTCATTCCATACACCAAGTGCAAAAGAAATGCAAGAGGAGAGAAAGATGTTCAGAATGACAAAACACTGGGCTAGCCCATTAGCTCAGTTGGTTAGTGCACCGCCAAAAAAAAAACAAAAAAACAGCCCTGTAACACCAAGGTCATGGGGTCAGATCCCACCAAAAAATAAATAAATAAATAAACACATGAAGGTGTTATACACAAACAACTACTTAAGAATGTAAGGATAAATTCATAGGACAACATGGCTATGTTCAAAAGAATTGGGTTCTTCTTGCATTACTAAACCAAGCTGTTAGTGGGCAGCTATCTCAACTACTTTGAGCCTCTATTTATTCATCTCTAAAACAGTTGGGAAAAAGTAACATGCACAATTGTCACAAGGATTAATTTAGCTCGTGCAGAGAAGCTTCTACCTAATATAAAACCCGTCAGGGGTGTTTACAGAGCTGTACTTTTAGGAAGCAAAGGAATGCAGAACTCCAAGTGATTTCCTCATTTACATTTACTTACTGCAGCACTCTTTCCTGGAAAATTGAAAAAGGCATCAGGACCATACTTTTGAGGCATATGCTTTAACACAGACAGCAGCTTCCCAGCATGTGGAGGCTATGAAAATAATTAACAATTCATTAACCACATTATTCACCATAAAACAAAACTACACATTTTTAATATAGACGTGCTTTAATATACATAAGAATAATCAAATAATACTATAAGCTAAAAAGCATATAAAATAACGAGAAAAGTTTTTCAACTAAAAGAAATAATGCACTCTATGCCATTTTTTGTAATACGTAAGTGTTCGATAAATATGACCCAATATAATTTGACACTTGAAACTCTTGTCCACACTGCAGCAATAATCATCTTTTAAAAATACAAACATCACAACTACAAAAATCAACCCACTACTACCCTCTTTTAAACACTTTTTAATTTAACAAATGCTTAAATAATGCTATGTTCCACTGTTAAAAAATACTTTAAGGGCCAGCCCGGTGGCACACTGCTGCAGTGCGCCGCTTGGGAAGCGCGGCAGCGCTCCCGCCGAGGGTTCGGATCCCACATACAGACCGGCCGCTCACTGGCTGAGCGAGGAGCGGGGGCAACACCGAGGGTTACGATCCCATTGCCGGTCCCGGTCCGGTACGGGCGCGACACTGAGGGTTGCAATCCGTTGCCGGTCACGAAAAAAGACAAAAAGTAAAAAAAATAAAAATAAATAAATAAATAAATTCCAAAGTCAAATAAAGTAACCAAAAAAAACTCTGCAGTCAAAAATAAAAATAGAGCATTTCTATCTAGAGAAATAATTCCTCCAAATTTCTCTTCCTATACACTAATCAACAAAGGAATATACTAAGATAAGCATTTTACCCAACAGACACTGCTGGAGTACTGGAAAAGCTTCTCAGAAAAAAAATTCAGTAGTCATATTTCAAGAGTCTTTATAAATGTTTATGTGTCTTGATGCACTATTTCCACATGTAAAAATCTACACTAAAGTAAAAATCAGAAAGACAGATATAGATTTAGATATAGGGATTTTTCACTGCTCTGCTATGGCTGCAAAAGATGGAAAAAAAAACCTGAATGTCTAATAATAAATAGCTAAATAAATGCAATAAACATCTGAGCAAGGCTTTGCTCTTGCCTTATAAATAGTTCATTATTTTTTCCCTTTATCCTCTACACCTATTTTCATCTCTCCCCCCTCCCCATAAGCAACTATATTAACATGTTTAATCCTTTTATATGTGTTCCTTCAAAACTGTTTTGTGTGCTTGTACTTACCATTTAAATGGTATTAGGTTAAATATACAAATCTGTTTATTACTTTCTATGTTTTTTCCACCCATTCCCATTACTCTGTGCATTGATTCTTACTTCTACGTAATAATTTGTTCTATGCATCCAATACATTTTATTTATTCACTCTCCTAATGATGAACACCATGTTGACAATTCACTACCATCAAAAATAATGCTTCAGTAAACATCATGTATATTTCCTTATGGAACTATGTAAGAATTTCTTGAAATACGCACTCAGGAGTAAATCATTAAGTCATTCGCTATGGGTATAATTTAGGTGACTAAGTAGCACTAGATTCCCCTTGAGGTTGGCTCCACTGGTATTCACCCTGACCAAAAGTACACAAGGTTTAAAATAACCCTAACTCCCTAACTATTCTTGCCAATTATCCAACTTTAAAATCCTTGCTACTACAGATATGATGACACATCAATAGTTTTAATTGTATGTCTTTAATTTTTAATGATTTTTGTGTTTATTCAGGTTGTGGGGTTTCTACCTCTGTAAATAAATATCTGTTCACATCCTTTGCTATTTTCTTACATATAATTTTCTATATTCATGAGTAACAAAAATGTATTAAGTAGATATCCAGAATAAATAGATTATTTGAATATAAATCAAAACCAAAATCAAACCAGTATACTTCCTCCTTTGCACATGTCACAGTAATAGGGGTTGTGCCTTCCAAACCATCATAAGCAACTAGAAAACTGGGGGAAATATATAAAACAAAAACTGTTTTCAGACACAGAGGAAGAAGTAGCTGTAGACTGTGATCCCTGAAAAAGGTACTCAAACAAAATGACTTTCTGCCTGGAGTCAATTTCCATATCACTGCACAGGGAAAAGAAAATGAAACAGAACTTGAAGGTCTCAATGAGTTGTACAGACAGAAATTAGAATACAGGGAGTCTGAGGCAGATAGAAGTTTCAGAGCACAGTATTGCAGAGGAAGGAGCTATGCAAAGAAGAGGCTTCAAAAATCTGCACTGACTCTTTGGCTCACTACCAAACTTTTCATGCTCGAAATTGGGCTGCAACCGCTCCACTTGCTATAGCAATTGCTAGGGTGAAAGGAGGCCACACCAAATGGCGGCTGTTTAAGTTCCCCACCTGCATGGTCCACACAAGATGGCGCCTAGAGGAAGCAAAGGGGGACTGTCACTTTTAGTTCTGCAAAAATTTGTATTGGTAGTTGCGCGCTTCCGCGCTGGTGATCAGTACACGATCAGTAGGCTAAGCATAGGAAAGTAAGGCGCATGCACATGAGACCTTTCCAGTGATTGGCTCTCAGTGTGGAAATCCCCGCTTGCTTAGATATAAATACAAGTGCTTAAAAGACAAACGGAACTGCTTGACAGAACCCCCGCCGCATCTGAGTGTTTCTTTGCGGGCTGAATAGGCAGGCGGTGCACTCACCCACCTTCGGGGATCCTTCTTTGGCTTAAGCCGCAGAGGGCAACTTATCTGGTCCTGCCTGGGGGCGGATAGGGAATCTGCCTGGGATCACTCGGTGGCCGTGGCCAGGGAAACCCGGAGCCCGGGCCTGGCTGACCGAGAGAGCTCCCTGACAGCTCACAATAAAACTGAACAAGGTGAAGCCATGATACTGAGAGTTTTAAGTCAAAGAACTGCCAGAACTAATACAGAGCTAGGAATTGTTTAAAACCCTACTAGATGCTGTGAACAAACCATAGTCTTAATCTTAGTCCTGCCGCATGTCTGAGATTTATGGTCATTCAGTAGAGGAGCCAGGCCTAGTAAGGCTAACCTAGCTCTAGAGTAACAGCCATTCTAAACCTGACTGAAAAAAAACTTTAAAACTAGCCATAAAGAATAAAGATGATCTACAAATAACTTATCTGCCTGCAAAAACATTATAATAATTCATAGTACAGTATATGCATGTATTGAAACAATACAATGTAACCCACGAATACGTAAAATTAAAAGTAAATTTTTTAAAAAATCAATTTCATAAGCCAGGCACAGAAGGAGAAATACTGCATGTTCCCACTCATAAATGGCAACTAGAAAGAGAAAGAAACAAACAAACAATAATAATAATAAGTTGAACTTTCAGAAGGAGAGAGCAGAACTGTAGTTACTAGAGGCAGGAAGGGGGACAGAGGAGAGTGAGAGATTGGTTAATGGACACAGAACAGCTAGATAGGAAAAATAATTTCTACTGGTGTACAGTCGAGCTAGGCATCTATAATTAACAATAAATTAGTGCATATTATCAAGTGGCTAGAAGAGAGATCAAATGTCCTCATCACAAAGAAATGTAATGATGAATATGCTAATTACTCTGATCATCACACATTGCATACATATATTGAAATATAACTCTGTATCCCACAAATATGTATAATCAATGTTTCAATTTTTAAAAAAAAATCAGATTTCAAAAACAGTCTAACAGTCTTAAAAGGAATATGATAAAATCCAGCACTCAACAATATACGATTCTCTATGTCTAATATCACTACATCTAAAATCAGCAGCTGGGAGGGGGAACCAGGAGAGGTTGGTCAATGGGTAAAAAAATACAGTTAGACAGGACGAATAAGCTCTGGTGTTCTATTACAAAGTAGGCAGACTACAGCTAATAACAATGCAGTGCATATTTCAAGATAGCTGGAAGAGAAGGTTTTGAATATTGTTATCACATAGAAACAAGAAATGTTTGGCCGGCCCGGTGGCGCACTGCTACAGTGCGCCGCTTGGGAGCGCAGTGGCGCTCCCGCTGAGGGTTCGGATCCCACATACAGACCGGTTCCCGCTCACTGGCTGAGCGAGGTGCGGGGGCAACATCGAGGGTTGCGATCCCGTTGCCGGTCCCGGTCCGGTACGGGCGCGACACTGAGGGTTGCGATCCGTTGCCGGACACGAAAAAAAAAAAAAGAAACAAGAAATGTTTAAAGTGATGGATATAGTAATGACCCTAATTTGATCATTATACAATGTATAGAAGCACTGAAACATCACACTATACCCCATAAATATGTACAATAAAAATAAATATTTTTTTAAAATACATAAAATAAAATCAGTAGCCATGAGAAGCAGGAAAATGTGAGCTATAAACAGGAGCAAAATCAATGAGTAAAAAAACTGCCCTAGAAAATGACAGGGATTATAGATTTAGTAGACAATAGCATTAAAGCAACTATTATTATGTTAAATATTGTCAAGGATTTAAAGGAAAATATGAACATAATGAGGAAAAAATGAAAGATGTTAAAAAGAACTAAATAAAATTTACAGAGATTAAAAAATACACTGGGCTGGCCTGTTAGCTCAGCTGGTTAGAGCACAGCCTTAGGTCACAAAGGTCACAATTTCAAATCCCCACACCAGCCAGCCACCCAAAAAAATTTTTTAAATAAAAATAAAAAATATACTATCTGAAATTTTCAATGGATGGAATTATACTACAGAAGAAACGGTAAGTTAACTTGAGGCTGTAGCAAGAAAAGCAACCTAAAATGAAGCACAAAGAGAAATAACTGAAGAAAAAAAAAAAGTAAGCAGGTCTCAGTGACCTATGGGATAACATGAAGAGGTCTAACATTCTTGTAATTGGAGTCTCAGAAAAGGATGGGGGAAGAGACAAGAAAATAATATTTTAAAAAATAATAACCACAATTTTTCCAAATGTGATGAGAATTATATTATAAACCCAGAGAGATGCAAGAACTCTAAGAAGGATAAACACAAAGTAAACTACACCCAGAAATATAATCAAATTCAATGAAAACCAGAAATAAAAATCTATGAAGCAGCCAGAAAACTGGAGTTTGATATAAAGAAGCTAAAAAATCTAGATTTTAACAAGATGAATTAGAGTAATGACAAGGCACAAATTTAGACATACTTAATGAGAGCTCGGTTAAGGATCACCTGGCTGAGAAGTTGCTGTGGGCAATAATCTCTAAAAGGCACTAAAATAAGCTTGGAAAAGCAACAAAAATTGAGAAAATATTTAGTAGTACTCCTCTAAGGGACAGCTAACTAAGTGGCAGGAAGAAACAGTTTGATAAGACACCTGAGGTTCAAAATAAGTTCACCACCACCCACTGCAAAGGACTGGTAAATTACATCTTAAGTATGGCAGATCCAATTAATTGCAGAGCTTTTGTTCACTGAGTGGGTTATTCAAATAGAAGGGAAACTAGGTGCCGCTACCTAACACTTTTCTTTCTCTGTCCTTACCTTATATTTAAAGAATAACAACTTGAAGAAGGATCAAAATATTAGCCTGCCTGGAACACCCATTCTCTTAGTCAAAACTGTGTCCATGCATGGCAAGAGTAAACGTACAGATCTAAATGCTGGTATAATTGATCTCTTCCCTTCGATTTGACAAGCTACTAATGAATTAGAATAAGTTACTTACAAGTTACTAATGTGTTTGGGGAGGTGGATACTTTCAAATAACAAATAGTATTTAGGTTTTTTTTACCCATTGTCCTTTATCTCCTTGAAGTTTGCTGAAGAAAAGCTTTAATTCTCGAACAGTCAAATTATAACTAGCCAGCACTCCCAACATGTCAACTAAAAGATCTGAAAACAAAAGAAAACAATAAAACAATTAAGCTACGTAAATTTCTTGAAGATTTAAAATACACTGTGCTTACTTAAGTTCTAGGAGCAGGCTATATGCACAGATGTTTCTTAAACGTTGCTAAATGAAATAAAAATACAGTATGTAAAAATGAAACATTATTTCTTCACATACATTGTACTGTAGAAAGTCATACCTGCTATCATATTGTCAACTTTTTCAATTTTCTCAAGAACTTTTTCAACAAGCCCCACTTCAGTACAGACTTGAAGATTTCGTATGCTTTTCTTTAGAATGGCTGTAAACATACTCCATACTTCTGCTTGGCAGGTAATGTCACATTTTTCCAGTAGGTCCACCATGCACATGATACTCTCACCTTCTTGAATAATGAAATTCATTTCCAAATCAAACTGTCCTCCTACCAGCTTCCAAGGGAAAAAATAAACAAAAACATATTAAAAGCATTAGTACTTCTTCAATATCACTGTCAGTAACATGCTCCTAAACTTTAGATTAGCAATAACTACCTATACACATTCTTTCCTACCCTATGCAACAATAAAAGGTTCGTTTTTTTAAAAGCTCACAGCTCTAGAAAAGCTTCTAAAGAAATCCTCAAATTTAAATAGCAAAAGTCAAGTAAAACTTAGAATGTAAACATGAAAATATTTACATATATAGAGAGAGAGTGTCTTGGGTAAATCATACCTACTCTGCCCTGCTACTGATAAAGATCTAAATCAACTGTATAAATGCTTCTAGTTCAGTATTTTGTTTATGAATTATCAAGTCTGTGAGCTACACACAGCAACCTAAAGATCCTCTGCAAGCTAAACAAGGTATGATGAGCTCATAGCAAAAATAAAAAGCTTTCAAGACTCAGCAAGGAGCCTTTCAGAGTCTCTTAAAGTTTGTATTTGTCAAATTCCTGGTTTATTATACCTATTCGTTTTGATCCCTCTCCTTTCCTATCAATAATCAGTGTAAATCTACACATAATTAGTCACACACCCAAAGTCAGTAATCAAGTAAATTTATTTCACTGATATTACTATCAGAAAATCCATATAGAGAAAGCTATACTGACCTATTTCCACCTAGCCACCCCACCTACAGCCTTTCTACAGAGGGAAGATTTGTAAATTTTAAACAAATCTCAAGTGTTTAAAGGAATTAAAATACTTTAAGAATTACCTTAGCAGAGCTATCCTTTTTAAACAAACTTTTTAAATAAATTTTATTATGGATATTTAAGGTATACACATGATGTTATTTTAACCAGATTTTTTTAAGGATCTCTGTCAGAAATAGTTACACACATGATTCTTTCTGAATACTTCTCGGTTTTTCATTATGCATTCCTAAACCCAAAAGGTGGGTAAGAATTAGAAGAAAGTGAACTTTACAGAACAACATCCAACAGCTCATAAAAGAATAAGAGACATGACCAAGTAGAGTTTACTCCAGA